TCTTAAAGACCGCGGAAAGTGGTCTTAAGGGTAAGGCGATTGTTACTCCTACTCCTACCAACTTTCGCCCCTGTCTTGGCAATCAGGAAAGGACGAGGGAAGAAGAGAAAGAGTTCTTCGAAGGGTACCAAGGTTAGGACCCTTGATGGCTCTTCTTCAAGTGGAACCAAGAAAGGTTTCATCACTCCTTCTTCTGACCCAAAAGAGGCTGAATGCTTCTATTGCCATGAAAAGGCACATTGGAAGCGGAACTGCCCAAAGTACCAGCAAGATGTGAAGGATGGGAAAGTTAAACCCAACCATGCAGGTATTTACACTATCATTTCTAATAACTCACCCCATTCTAAATCTTGGGTCCTTGATACCGATTGTGGTATTCATATTTGTTGTGACTTGCAGGGACTAAGAAGAAGTGAGAATGTGGAGCAAGGAAGGATAAACTTAATCATGGGGAATAGGAAAGTTACACCTGTCACCAAGATTGGAGTTTATACTTTGTCGCTAAGTAGTGGGTTAAATTTAGATTTGAATAAATGTTGTTATTCGCCAGAAATGGCAAGAAATATTATTTCCTTTCATGCATTGTATAAACAAGGGTTTACCTTTTCATTTAATAATGAAGTTGGTTCTATTGATGCTTTCTTTAATAATGTTCTTTATTTTAAAGCATTACCTTGTGATGGTGTGTATGAAACAGTATCTGTGGTTGATTACTTAGGAAATAATGTATTGTGTATCGATTCTATTAATAATAATAACTTGGATAAAGCATCACTATGGCATTGTCGTCTTGGACATATAAGCAAGAAACGCATAGGCCAACTCCAAAAGGATGGAGTCTTGGAGTCGTTTGACCTAAAGTCAGATGATAGTTGCGAATCATGCTTACTTGGAAAATGACAAAGTCACCCTTCACAGGTTCTTGTGAGAGGGGTGAAGGTTTGTTGGACCTTGTACACACGGATGTGTGTGGACCATTCAAACATGCCACAAGGGATGCTAATCGTTATTATTTGACTTTTACTGATGATTAGAGTAGATATGGATATGTCTACTTAATCAAGCATAAGTCAGAGACTTTCGAAGGTTTAAGGAATTTAAACAGGAAGTTGAGAATCAATTGGACAGGAACATTAAGATGCTTCGATCCGATCGAGGTGGTGAGTATCTTAGTTCAAAGTTCCTCGACTATCTTAGGGAATGTGGGATTGTCTCACAATTGACACCTCCCAGGACACCACAATTGAATGGTGTAGCTAAGAGGCGTAATCGAACCTTGTTGGACATGGTTCGTTCCATGATGAGTCGAACTTCGCTACCAATCTCATTTTGGGGGTATGCCTTAGAGACTGCCACCCAGATCCTTAATCTAGTCCCTACAAAGAAAGTTGCCAAAACTCCTTAGGAGATGTGGACTGGTAAAGTACCTAGACTAGACCACATCAAGATTTGGGGTTGCGAGGCTTTTGTGAGACGCGAGACTCATGATAAGCTAGAACCCCGAAGCGAGAGGTGTATTTTCATTTGGCTACCCACAAAGATCCTTTGGTTACCTCTTCTACAGACCTAGTGATAATGTGGTCTTTGTACCAAGAAGAGGAGTCTTTCGAGAGAGATAAAGGTATAAGCCAAGGAGACAGTGGGAGGCAAATTGATCTTGAAGAAATTCAAGAGTCAAGTGGTGAAGGAACTTTAAACGCTAGCCCTCAACTTGAGGAGGAAACTCATGTTAAGCCAATTGACGAATCTGTACCTCTGAGGCGTTCCATGAGAGTTAGGAATGCACCTGAGCATTATTATGGTTTCCATATTACTGCAGAAGGTGAGACACTTATTAGTGATGAGACACCAGTAGGAAGCTATGGCAGGCCCTAAGGCTGCTAAATGGAAAGAGGCTATGGATAGCGAGATAAAATCCATGTATGACAATCAAGTTTGGAACTTGGTTGAGAATGTACCAGGTCGTAAGACTGTAGGGTGCAAATGGATCTTCAAGAAGAAGACCGACATGGATGGTAATGTACACACTTATAAGGCTCGACTGGTTGCAAAGGGCTTCTCTCAAACTCCTAGAGTGGATTATGATGAGACTTTTTCTCCAGTAGCCAAGATTAAGTCTATTATGGTTATGTTAGCCATAGCTGCATTTCATGACTATGAAATATGGCAAATGGATGTCAAAACCGTTTTTATTAATGGAAAGTTGACTGAAGATGTTTACATGAGTCAGCCAGAAGGTTTTGTCAGTAACGAGTACCCTAATAGAGTGTGTAAGCTTGAGAAATCTATTTATGGATTAAAGCAAGCACCTAGCAGATGTAATCTTTGCTTTGATGAAAAGGTCAAGGAATTTCGCTTTTCTAGGAGTGAAGATGAATCTTGTGTTTATGTCAAGGCTAGTGGGAGTATAGTTAAATTTTTGGTATTGTATGTGGATGACATACTACTCATAGGAAATGACATCCCAACCCTGCAGGAAGTAAAGTCCTGGCTTGGGAAGTGTTTCGCTATGAAGGACCTTGGTGAAGCTGCCTATATCCTAGGGATAAGGATTTTGAGAAACAAGAGTAAAAGACTAATTGGACTTAGTCAAAGTACCTATGTGGACAAGGTGTTGAAAAGATTCAACATGCATAACTCCAAGAAAGGTGAGTTACCCATTCAGAGTAACGCCGGATTGAGTAAGACACAAATCCCTAGTACTGAGGCTGAGATAGCAGAAATGAGTCGACTACCTTATCCTTCAGTTGTAGGATCGATCATGTATGCTATGACGTGTACTCGACCTGATGTAGCCTTTGCTTTGAGCATGGTTAGCAGGTATCAGGGGAACCCTGGCAAGGAACACTGGACTACGGTAAAGAATATCCTCAAGTACCTGCGAAGGACTAAGGACTGGGTACTTACCTTCGGTGGGAGTGATGACTTGAGAGTTGTAGGGTATAGTGATGCTAGCTTCCAGAATGATAGGGATAATTTCCGCTCTCAGTCGGGCTGGGTCTTTACCTTAAACGGAGGAGAAATCACTTGGAAGAGTTCTAAGCAGGAGACAGTGGTAGATTCCACTTGTGAATCAGAGTATATAGCAGCAAGCGAGGCAGCAAAGGAGGCTATATGGCTAAAGAACTTCATCGGAGACCATGGAGTTGTACCAACTATAAAGGAGCCAATGGAAATTTTATGTGACAACAATAGTGCGGTTGCCTTAGCCAAGGAACCAAGAGATCATGGGAGATCCAGACACATTGACTGAAAATATCACTTCATCAGACATCGAATAGAAGTAGGAATCCTCGTGGAAAAGAGGGTATCATCGGATGAGAACCCAGCAGATCCCCTCACGAAGGGACTGAGTAGGGTTAAGCATCTCCAACATGCTCAGAGCATAGGGCTGAAGGATGATATAAGTTTTAGTAGTTAGATAAATTATGAAATTTGTAAAGTGTAATTGACATTAGATGATGAATAAAAGGTGTTTTATTTATGAGTAAAGTGTTGCTACCTCTTGTCAATCGTTTACTATATTTCTTTTGCATGTTTTGACTTCCAGAATAATTATGTTTGGTATATTATATTATTCAAACCTCCACAGTCGATCATATGTCGGAAGTAGGTATGAATCAAGACTGTCATGATTGGTTGAAGAGGTCTAAGGTGTTGGACATGGCTACAACAATCGTGAGTGCTCATAAGTTCTGAGCATTGGAATCAACCCACGCTCACTGGAATCACTTCATGGAATTTTATCTCGAGTGATCGTGAGACGGTAATATCACATAAGTCTTCAAACCTAGAGATATGATTTGTTACTTACGAGTTGATTATGCATTGATTGTACGAAAATGCATTGGTAACTCGATGTTATAAAACGTGCCTTTGTGTATAATTCAATGAGTGGTAGAACAAACATATGAGTCGAAGTTTATTTGTTCCTTCTAGGATTAGAAGCTGATATCTGGGCCCCTCGATTATTGTGTTTTGACCTATGTACCGGGCCCGGTCAGAACTAAATTGATGTGTTCAGTTAAGTTCTATGTCAAACAACTCGGAAATCGAGAAACAAATGCTGGACAATAAGTAAGACCATGTTCCATGTATTTGTCCGGCTGATATCTTGAGTAGAGGATTATATGATCACTTATCTAAAATGGCACGTTTTAGTTCAACAGAGTTTAAAGCGCTACGATTGCTGATCGGTTCCTGAAGTCATACTTGCAACTATAGTTATTAGACTTATCCAAGTGGGAGACTGTTGGATATAGTTTTTAAGTCCATAACTATATTTGGTATGTACTTGACCCGACCCGACATGGTCCATTTGGGTTGCACTTCACCCGAACAATTTATGGATAATATTTGAGAATAGTACAAGTTATGATTTATTAATATATTATAAGTTCTAATATATTAATATAATATCATATTATTTAATTAGTATTGATCTATAATTAATCTAGGATTAATTTAGAGATCAAAGATATTACTAATTAAATATGGGCTTCTATATTTATATAGTGTGGGCTAATGCTTATTTGGAATGGGCTAGGCTTGCATGGAAAAGTCCATGGATACTCCATGGAGCTTTAACCCATGGATCTCGTGGAAATGAAGATATACATGGGTATTAGGGTTTACATGGATGTAACCCTAATCCACCACACTATATAAAGGAGGCTTTGGTTCTTGAAATGAGACTAGTTGACACTTGTTGAGGTGAGGGCCGATTTCAAGATAGTAGTGACTATTCTCTCAAAGTTCCAAGTTTGTGGTGATTTGTGATTTCCATTTGAGGCATTCACACTATTGGTTCTAGGCTCTAAAACTCCAAGCAATCAACTACTACTACAACGTAAGTATTTCTACTAGCTTTATTTGATTCATGTTCCCCATGCCATGCTAGTTAGGATATGAACCTTGGAAAAATAATTATTTGCATGTATCTTAGACAAACATAGATCCAAGGTTTATTAGGGTTGCATGTACACTTAGGAAGTGTTAGAATGCTCAAAACCCATCAGTCGTGGCCTTGTCTTATTGTCTGGTGGAATAGTGCTCTCAGAACAAGCTTGATTAAAGAAGTCGGGGTTAAGGAGAAAAGGATGTCGTTGGTTAAAGAAGGAGGTTCGATAACGTATCAAGTTTTGGTTTTGACTCCAACGAATTATCCGATGTGGGCGGTCAAAGTCAAGTCGAATATGGATGCACACGGCATATGGGAGACGGTTGAACCAAAGGCGTTAGGTGAAGCATCAGATCAAAAGAAGTCAAACAAGCTCTTGCTTTTTTGTTTCAAGCGATACCTGAAGACATGGTGTTGCAAATGGCGAGTTACATTGAACCAAAGAAAGCGTGGGATGGGCTGAAAACACGATATTTGGGAGCGGATCAGGTGAGAACGACTCGACTTGCAACGTTAAAGAGAGAGCTTCAAAGTTTGCGCATGAAGGAGGGTGAAACGGTCGATGATTTTGTGACAAAATTATCTAGTTTAGCTTCAAAAGCATGGAGTCTTGGATATGAGCTTGAAGAAGGTGATTTGGTAAAAAAAAAGGTTACTAGATTCGATGCCTAGGTCGTTTCTTCAAATTGTGACTTCAATAGAGCAATGTTTCGAGTTGGATTTAATGTTATTTGATGAAGCGGTTGGTAGATTGAAGGCATACGAGGATCATATAAGAGGAACCGAGAAAGTGGAGGACACTCAAGGTGGGTTATTGTTGGCTAGTGAGGAAAAATCACATGTTTGTAAGCATTGTGGCAGTGGACGTTCAAATCGGGATGAAATTCGACGTGGCGGGTGATATGGGCATATTTAGTTATAAAATTCATGCATTATCTTAATGATTCATGTTGATTTTATCTCATTTAATGAACAAAATGTGCTTAATTAGTTTATAATTTCATTTTTCAGCAACAATGAAATGCTCAAATGGAAAAGGAAGCAGATTTAGCAATTGGAAGCTTGGATCTTGGATTTTGAAGAAAGAAGGATGTTGTTGGACAGCTTGACCCCTCATCCGTGTTTTGGCCATATCTCATGAACTGTAACGCCGATTGACGAGATTCAAAATGTTCTGAAAACTAGACACAATTTCGGACGACTTTTGTGTTTTGAGAAAATGTTGATTCCAAATGGACTCGACGAGTCACCCCTTTTTTCAGAATTTATATATAGAAATGCTTCTCATTCGAATCCTAACGAATGGGGGAAGTTTAGGATGATTTTTGGAGGCTAGAAGGGTTCTTAGAAGCTGTGGTTTTCGAGATTTCAACTTAGATATCAATTTGGAAGAAGATCAAAGGCAATAACACATTACTTTTATCTTAATCTTTTGCATGAACCATGTTTCAATCATTAAATTATGTTTTTAGTTTGTTATACGTTGTAGATATGAGCTAAAAACTCATAACTTCTGTTTAGGATAGATGATTTTATGAATATGGTTTGATTTTATTATCGGATTAATTTAATCTGATGATTTTGTTTTGTTAAGCTTGTTAAAGAGCCTTATGTGTTAATTACAACTATTTTTTGTTAATTAAACAGTAATTAAGTTGCATGAACATCTCTTAGTTGCTAATCTCATATGATTTATGTGAAAACATTGTTATATGCCTAGGAATAGCGAACGTGAAACTAGGGTTAACTAGAAAATAGATACGTTAATGTGTAAGCTTGTGTGACAAACCATCAATAAGGAGTTAATTGAATTAGCATATTTGATTAACTCATTACAAGTCTTACTTAACCCGAATCAATAAGCTAGAAAATCTGTTAGTTTAATCACTTGATCACTGCTTGAATTAATTTGTTTTCTAAGGATTAGTGTCACACCCCCGAACCGAACGGCGGAAACATCCGAGGGCTTTTGTGACTCAAATTGAATACCATCACAATGAATATACATGAATCATAACAAAAATCATCACCATGCATTGGAATATTACAACTGATATTGTTTATTAGTACATTGTTTTAAACATTACAATTCCATTACATAAACTGTCTAATAGATAATTTAAGCAAAACACCATGACATTTCCTGATACTTATTCTTCGGCTTACCTGTTACCTGAGAATACAAGTTATTTTGGAAAAACGTCAACATATGAAATGTTGGTGAGTTCATAAGTAATGTTATGGAAAAATGATTTTTGTGAAGTTTGAAAAACCCAGAAAATCCGATATTTTCTGAAAAGAGTATTTGTTTATAAAAAGTGTGAAGATCCGTAAATATGCTTGTCGATTTTGAAAACATGTATAATTGTTGAACTTTGTATACATCACATAGGTGAAAATGTTGAACTTTCCGGGAAAACCCGATGTTTTCCCAATACACAAATTACATGACTTGTTTATTGTTATACCGATACGACGTATGTTTTTGATTACCCAGGTGACATTGGATTAATTAGGGTTTGTGAGTTGTTACAATCACGCATTAATGAAAATGACTAGTTTATAACTACAGGTTACGAACGATCCTTAAGGCGTCGTCCGTACTACTCACTTAATCCAACCACCCTGACTTCTCTTGATTAACGCCACGAATATGTTTACTTGAATTCTCATAAGCCGGTCAACCGAGGAGAAAGGAGGGTACGAAGCCCCCTTTATTTCCATAAGTTATTCAAGGCTATCGGGAATGCGAAAGGCACTTGGCCCAACTCGCATTTGACTTCTCGACCTCACTAGTAGTACTAATGGACCATTAGGGCCCAATAGAGCTATTGAAAGTCCTTTTACATGGAATTGGGTCATAGGAGGCCCATTAACATGTAAGCGCGTTCCCTTCGGGCCCAAAGATCAGGTTATTGGGCTAGCAAGGCCCAACAAACACGATTTGAAACTTTCAAGCCCAATGTTTGAATGTTGACTCATCATAGTTATCGCGTGTTTATTGAAATACTTTGGTTTATTGATTTTTGTTTTGTTATTGATTCGAGACCGAATCAATTCGTTTTGTAACGATATTTGTTGTTGAGAGTGTATTTGTTTTTCCGTTTCGTCGGTAGTCGTGGACCATGTATTTTGTCTTAGTGAATTAATTAGTTTAAAAGTAAGATTTTTACCTTTTCACAACCTTTCTTTTATAAAAATAGCACTTTTAGTCCTTTATATAAAAGAATTTCATTTTAGTCCTTAAAACATTATTTTGACACTTTTGTATCATAAACTTATTGAAAAGACATTTTTAACCCAAATTTATTTTGTAAACAGCTTTAGCCCTTCCAGAATGATGTTTTCTCGGTTAAAACCCCCAGTTTTGCAACTTTTACAGTTTTGGCCCAAAATAGAAATTTTTTACATTTTTGAATTTGAAAAGCATTTTTGACCTTTGAAATAGTTTTAATACACTTCAAATCCCCTGTTTTATAGAAAATTGCATTTTTAGCCCCTCAAACTTAGAAATCTCGCAATTTGAGGCTTATTGGACCAAAAAGCCCAAATCTAGCCCATTAGGTTCAAAATTTACACTTTAAGTCCCTTAAAAATGTTGTTCAGAAAAATTATTATAGAAACTGTTTGGAACCTTTTGACCCTCCAGAAACTATAAATTTGTCGGTTTGTACCCTAAGTTTTGTATTTTTGACATTTTAAGCCCTAAAATGTGTTTTATGTTAGGATATGTTCACCCTAACCTCATAAACTATTTTTGTTGACTTGATTAGTGTTTAATAACTTAAGATATGTTTATTTCCTTTCTCATTCCTTAGATCTCGGTTTTTACACACTTTTTGATAACATATTCATCACAAAACACATGATATCACACACATACATGCATCAAATCACCCATAACATACATTTACACATAGATCTACACATTTACTTGTATTCTCCCCCATAAAACTCATAGAAAATAAAAAGGAAGGGGTATGAAACTCACCTTGGGTGTGGTTTCGGTTTTGGAAGGAAAAGATGAAGAAGAATTCGATCCTAGCAACCTTTCTTGGAGGATCTCGAACTTGGATGCTTCTAAGGTGCAAGATCATGAGTTTGAATGAATTAATAGATGATTCTTGAATGAAAGGAAATAGCTAGATTATGTATCTAGCATCAACTTACCTTAGATGATGTGTTTATGGGTTAAATCTCCTTGAAAGCTTCCTTAATCTCAAAAATATGGAGAGGAGTGGAGAGAGTTTTCTTGAGAGAATTGTGAGTGAAGTGTGTGTGTGTGTGTTTGTTTGGATTCGGCCGAGAGGGAGAGAGGGAGAAGAAGAGAGAGTGAGCTTGCATGGAAAGATGAGAAGTGCATGGATGTTTGAAATGTAATGCCTAGTTATCCCCCATACAAAAATGATGTGGCATGCAAGAAGTCAACTCTTCCCTTTCTCTTGGGCTTGGGCCGAGATTTGGAGAGAAAAAGGAAGGAATTGGGCCCTTAAATGCCTAAGTCCAAATCATAGCTAATTTAGATAACTATTGGCCCAAAATAAATCAAGTAATGATTTTTATGACCCATTAGGGCTAATTAGGTTAGTTATGGCCCAATGAGGTTCATTTAAATATTTTGTTTCATTCTAGGCCCAATATGGCCTAAAATATTAAAATAAATGAAAGTGGGTCCAATTAGAGCCCATAATATTCGAATTGGAAGCTTATTGGTCCATTGGGCCCAATAAGGAAGTCCTAGTCCAAAATGGACTTAAACAAGGACTTCTAGGGTTTCCAATTATTTGTTGACTATTTGTAGTGCTTGTATGAAGTGTTTGATTGAAATTATGTTGTCATAGAGTAAGCATCATGCATGCTTTCATGTTTTTGATTCATAGTTGACATAAGTGTTGTAGTTACAAGGCACCAAAAATTTCTAGTTGTGACAATTAGTAATAGCGAACGTGAACCTAATCACACTAATCGGTAGCCAAAGCCAATTAATCCATTGCACTTGCCATAAAATCAACCATAAGAATAAATGATTCAAACCTAAACAGAAGTCTCCTCCATTATTGAATCTAGTTGTTCTTTTGTTTCTCCTTAGTTTTTAATTGTCATTTGTTAAAGAGTTTAAGTAGTTGTTTAAGTTTCTAGTCTTCCAAAACTAGAGAAAACCCTTTCTTTTATTACTTGTTTTATTTAGATGATATTAGCATTTATATTAATTGTTTACCGTTCCTTGTGTTTGATACCATACTTGCTTGAACTATATTACTAATCGATAGGTACACTACCTTTCGCGTATTTATTTTGTGTCTAAGTTAGTAGGATTAAAACTAGTGCATTTTACACACATGAGCGGGGGAAGAGATCAGGGGCCCGGGAGAAGTCGAGATGGTAATGAACGTGTTCGCGATAAAAGTCACATTAGATGTTACAAATGTGGTGAGCTTAGTCACTATAAAAACGAGTCTCCTAAATGGGAAAAGGAAGAAACGGGTCTAATCGAAGAGGAGTCGACATTGTTTTGAAAGCGTGGCTCGTATGTCCAAACCGATTAAGGGGGTGGTTGTTGGATTAATCGGTTAATAGGAAACTTTCCTTATTATAAGATTTGTTTATATCTAGTTCAAATAAGATATTTTAGGAAACTTGATATGAACTTGTTTTAGTTTTTGTGTATGATTCAATTGTGTCTAGTATAAATAATATACAAGTTTAGATGTTTAAAAAGAGTTTTGGGTTTTCTCGATTAATTAGAAAAAGCTTAGCAATCAAGTAATTTTCTATTGTTCTCTTCTTTCTTCTTTTAGCTGCATATTTGTTTCTTTTTTGTTTATAAGTAAAGCAAGTTCCAAACCTAAGTAAATCTTACACCTTTTTGCTATAAATAATAAGTGATAATAATAAAAATAAACAAATAAATAATAAATTTATATATACATATAAAATGAATGGCAAAACAATGATTTTAGCAACATTGACATACTAAAACAATTTAACTTCATGCCCAAAACTACAACTAAACCTTCTAAAAGATTACATTTTTGTTGGAAAAATTTTAAACTAAATATTAAAAGAAAAACAAAACCACAGCCATAAGAGTTTCCAAGAATCCACAATATTTTTCATCGGCGTCTGGAATTTCTCCGCCAGAGGCCGCATTAGATATCTCTTCCCCATCACCCTCCTCCACGCATCGACATCGTCAACCATGGCCTCTATCCCTCCGCTTCTAGACCCATTATCTCTCTCTCAATTCCGTTCCGCCACCGTCTTCCACCATCATCCGCTTTCTCCAATCTCACCCCCTCCATCATTTATCTATACTCTCCCATCTTCTCGCCTCCTTCCAGTTTCTCGCAGACCCACTTTCACCGTCGCCGGAGCAGCTACCTTGACCGGTAATTCCGTACCGGTACACTTTTTTTCTCAAATTTTCTATGAATCTAAGTTTCCCGTAACTTGTTTGTGGGTTTTTACATATGTATATAATCAATAATCATGTTCGTCTGATTTTTAAGTCGCTTGTACAAAATTGAGCTTGGTTGTTCATTTACTATCGGTCGTTCAGCTCCTCCGTGTACTTATTTAGGTGTAATTCGTTAGTTAGTTTCAAGTTTGGGACTGGATAAGAAGATTCAAAGTAAATTTTGTAAGAGGAATTTCATCAAACACTTTGTAGGCATAATGGGGACATAAAGTAGCACGCTTTTATATCTACTCGCATATCGCTCTTCAAAATTCAAATAGTATATCAACAACATAAACAACTTAAAAGCAGCCATCGATAAAGGAACTAAGCAACAGACTTTAATTACATAAATCTTGAAACGAACTAAAAATCATAGAATTCGTCACCAATCTGTCCCTTACACTAAACCCTTTCAAACTCTCAATTTCTTTCCTTCAGGATCTTTGACAAGTTTGGTTCTTGTTTCTAGCCAAGAAATGGAGTCTTAATTGTGGGCGATTTCATGACTACAAAAGAGGAGTTACATGTCGTTAAGCCCACAACAACAGTAGACGAAGGTATTGCTTCATTGCTTCATTTCAATTTGCAATTTGCAACAAACAAATTCGTCAATCTCTTTACTTTCTTCCCCCATTTTTCTAATTGATTTCATCCAACAGCTTTAGAAGCTCTTGTAGAACACAGAATCACCGGATTTCCTGTAATTGATGATAACTGGAAATTGGTAACGTTTTTTTTTTCCTCTTTATTCGATTGAATTGATATTCTTTATAACGTATTTAGAGCGTGATTCTTGTTACAGGTTGGATTGGTTTCAGATTATGACTTATTAGCACTGGACTCTGTATCAGGTAATAAGCATAACTTAAAATATCAAAAAGATTTAAATTTTATTTGTGGGTCCCACTTTTTATATTTTCTAATATTCTAATATTTTTATTAGGCCCTGCCCGACCTGATACGGGCATGTTCCCGGAAGTTGATAGCACCTGGAAGGTAATTATCCCGGAAGTTTATTTAATTTTTTATTTATTTTTAAAAAATATTTAAAGAGATCATGGTGTTTGTTTCTTTTTATTTTTGTAAATATGTTTAGATCATAGATATGTTTTTAGCTAATTATTTACATATATAAAAGACCTTACATTTTGTGTTTTTTCTGGATTAAACCTCAACTTAATTTTTTTCATGAGAAAGATCTTGGATTTTTTTTTCATTTTTTCCGATTTGGCCCTTTTAGTCATTTTTGTCTAAAAAAGTTGTAAAATGTGAGGGTTTTATCAGGAAAAACTAAAAAAGTTGAGGATTTATTTGGAAACATTTAGAAGGTTGAGGGTTTGTTTTTTTGGAAAAAAAAAGACAGTTGAGTGTTTTTCGGAAAAAAAGACAAAAACATAAGGTATTTTTCATGAAAAAAATAAAGATGATGTTTAATCAGGAAAAAAACATAAAATATAAGGCCTTTTATGAGACTAACCCTTTAAACAAAATGAAATATGTTTATATGCAAATTAGGTATTATGCAGAAAAAGTCTCATTATTTTGGGAAAATTTCTGATAAAATCCTAATGTTTTTTTTTGAAAGAAAAGTCCTGATTATATAATATTTTGCCCAAATTAATGAAAAAGTCTTTATTTTTATTTTAACAGTAAATGACAGATTATCGTGTAAAATTAAATAATCAGGACCTTTTTGTTCAAAAAAAAAAAAAAAAAAATAGGACCTTATCAAAATTTTTCCCAAAATAATGGGAATTTTCTGCATAAAACCCATGCAAATTATATAGCAATATATCTTTATTTAATTTACATAAAGTAATATCTTTTTCTTTATTTATCAAGTTTAGTTTCATATTTATACAAAACAAACATGTTTGAATGACTCCCTTCCTTTCTTCCCTTCCAACATGACACTGGAACGTAATGATCCATTCCATTTCCTTGCTCATTCCATTCCTTTCACGATTCCATTCCATCATACTAGACACACCATAACTATCAAACTCTCAATCTATTCTTTTTATTGGATTAGTTTCGTATTATAATTTCATATATTAAAAAATTACAGACATTTAATGAAGTACAAAATTTGCTAAGCAAAACTGATGGGAAGTTGGTTGGTGATTTAATGACTCCTGCGCCATTAGTAGTTCGTGAAAATACTAATCTTGAAGATGCTGCCAGGTTTGTTCAACCTTATTTTTCACAAATTTATTTTTATTATCATTTTATAACCAAAAAAAAAAAATCTTATAATTTTTTTTTCATGATGTCAGATTGTTACTTGAAACCAAATATCGCCGCCTTCCCGTTGTAGATGGGGAGGGAAAGCTGGTAAGAACCTTTTTTAGTACCGTCAAAAAAGGGAAATCGTCAGAAAAGGTTCCAATATTTTCGAAAAAGTTGCACTTTTGCCCCAAGTTTTTTTTTTTTAAACATAAAAGTCCCGATTATTTCATTTTGGCTCAATTAACAACAAACTCTTTTTAAATTTTTTTTCTTTTAACAGGAAATGACAGATTATCGTGTTTTTACAAATAATCGGGACTTTTATGTTAAAAAAAATGGGACTAATGTGTAACTTTTTCGAAAATATTGGGACTTTTCTGACAGTTTCCCTTTAAAAATTATTAAATAAAATGTCGGCATACTTGGGTTAATAAAAAGGAAAACTAATTAAGGGCAAATTCGTAAAATGTTACGTGTTATAGTTGAAATCGATGAATATTGTGAAATTTGAGTTTTGGGATGTAAGGGTAAAACGGTCATTTAATACCCATTCTGAAAGCCATTGTTTGTACATATGAAGGTGGGGATTATTACAAGAGGAAATGTTGTAAGAGCTGCCTTACAAATAAAAAAGGCGAGTGAAATGAAAACATAATAATGTTTGAAGGAATATTTGCGTTGGTCATTTTTATGCATGTAGCAAACTAGCAATGAAATTAGTTCCAAAATTTTTGGTAATTTGTAATAAAACTTATTTTTTTTTATTTATTTGTCTAAGTGTTGATTTTCTTTCATGGTTTTTGTATATGATTTGTAGATCTACTATACTATACTTATCCAATTGAGATCATGATGTTGCATTGTTTTTCCAAACAAGTAATGTCATTCAATGGGGCACCGTTATAATTTACTTCATGAAAATGGTAGGGACAATTTTCATACAAAGGCACATGCAATGTACTTTTCACATTTCATATTCACAATTACTTGATCACTTTTGTCAATATCCGTGTAACTACTCATACCATCAAAGATTTAATGCTTATATGTCGCATTGATTAGATAAAATGACCATTTTTGGAGCCTTAAAAATGGAAATATAATATATATAGCAATACTCCCTAAAACTGATCATAGAAGTTTTTTCTAACTTTCCAATTAAAAAGTTTAGCCTTGAACTTGTCAACGGAGATCTTTAGGCTATGTTTCGTGTATTAGCTGAAAAGCTAACTGTTAAATAAAAAACTAACTAATAGCTAAAACTAGCTAATAAAAATGATGTTTGGTAAAACTGTTTGAAAAACTAGCTGAAATATATAAAATGACATTTTAAATGAATGTGCTTCTATAATTAGTTAGGGGGTATTTTTAGAAAATTTTAAAAAAGCTTTCAAAAAGCTAGTCTAAGGCTATGTTTGATGTACTAGCTTAAAAGCTAGCTGTTAGTTAAAAAGCTGGCTGATAGCTGAAAAACTAACTGTTAAATAAAAAGCTAGCTGATAGCTGAAAAGCTAGTTGATAAAAAATAACGTTTGGTAAAACTAACTGAAATATATAAAATTACATAAAAGGATATCTGAGAGTAAATTAATCAAATGGTGTATTTGGAAATTTTTAAAAAAGCTTTTAAAAAGCTAGTCTAAGTAGTTTTTCAAAACATTAGCTTATAAGCTAGCTTATAACGTACTTTTTGGCTTACCAAACACGATAACATAAAAAAGCTTAAAAAATAAGCTAGCTTATCAGCTAGCTGTGACGCGCCAAACACAGCCTAAGTATCTTTTTAGAAAGCTAGCTTATAACTTTTTGACTTATCAAACACAATAACATAAAAAAGTTCAAAAAATATGCTAGCTGTGGCGTGCCAAATATAGCCTTAATAAAAACGGATTGTTATGTACTTCTAAAAACTTACCAATAGTTTTGTATTAGCAACCAATTAGACTAATTGGTTTATGATCTTTACTAAATTTGGGATCATAAAACTTCGAAATGAGGAATTGCATCATTTCGGGATAAAAACAGATTCTTGGAAATGCATTAGTAAATCAACCACATCATGTTCAACGACATCCCAAAAGCATTTGATAAAATCAAAAGTAAAATCATCGGTAAAAATGGGGATCAAGGGATTTTTCATTACATAAGATAATCTTCCAAATCAGTCGTGGTTGCTATTCCACCATCCAAACGTGTATTCATATTATTAATTTCTATTTGAAGATCAACCTTAGTAAAACTTCGAATATCTTTCCATATAAAATCAATCATTTCTTAATACTACTTTTGAGCAATTAAAGCTTCTTTTTAAAAAAATCCAACTGATGTTCCTCAACCTTTTAACGATGAGCCCAAGTATCTTTAACAATATCCTCAAATCCTTCCATTTGAAACCACAAATGAAAAGATCTAAAAGGGAGTAAACCATAATCGGTGACCAAAATAGGGTGATGATATGAGAATTTATAGTCTAACATTATAGTCATGAGACTTGGGAAGTGACCAAAAAGACCTTCTGAAAGCAAGAATATATCAAACTTGCTATTTTATTAAGCCTATCTATAGGTAACTGTAACTGTAACTGTAATGGTTTGGAATTGTTCCCCTATTTCTATCTTTTCCTTGTAATTGTACTCGTTTTACCTTCACACAGTTTAGTCGCTTGCTAATCGATGTGTTTTTTTTTTAATATATGTTTTCTGCTTCCAAAAAAAATGAAAGTATTCCAACTTGCCTTGTTTTCACCAACTCTTGAGGCTCATACGCGATAATAATAATCATTTGAATACTATTAAAGCCCATGTTCCATATGATGTGACGAAAAATTCATTACACATGACCCTATTTTAACGAATTTTTGAGGGATCCCACACATAAATACCCTCCCCACCTTTATTGGCGTATGGAACTAATACTAAAATCGAAAAACAAATGACTCCAAATGGTCGGGGTATAATTGACAACTACAATCTCGACATCTTTGTTTATTGGATACCTAAGAAATTAATCATGTGCCAGTTACATAAATCTTTTATCCAATTATGCATGTCCATGCTCCCAAATCCAAATTGAATATTAATAGAAACTAGGTTTGGACCGGCCGTCCGATGCTGCGGAAACCTAGTATGTTGAAAAACGCAATTCAACATTGATAAGGTTTTTGGGAGAAATTTTCGCGCATTTTGGCAAAGAAGTTCTTTTCAAAGTGAATCGTAAAAGTGTAAAATAAGGTTTAGAAGCAAACAATTATGTATGGATGAGGCATGCAAAATAAAGCTTCAAAAATGTATTTTAAATGTATTAACTAACATTTAAATAAAAAAATAATATCAATAGAACTGAAAACTATAAAAACAATTATGTAAGGAACCAAAACGTAACTTAAAATTACCAATAATTTAAGTTTAAAATTACGAAGGATAAAATGTGTTTAATCAAAATTATTTTAGGGTAAAAAATGTAAATGTAAGAATCTTTTATTACCAGAAGCAAATTTGCTACTTTTAGGAAAATGTTTATTTTATAACATATATTATATTTTTTAAGAGTTGTAATTTGATATGGATTTAGTTGGTTTTGGTCTGATTTTAGGAAAAGCAAATGAAGTCAGTACAATTGTTGGTTAAGAAGAAGAAACAAGAAAGAATTGAGAAGCAAAGGAAATCGGACGGCCACAAATGAAAAGTTCCACAAATGAAAAGTTGAAATGAATAGTAAACCTCCTCACAAACCAATTTTGGTAATTAATAGATATACTAGGGTTTGGGTCGTCCACACATTGCTGCGGAAGTTTCGATATGTTAAACAATGCAGTTTGACACCATATATATATATATATATATATATATATATATATATATATATATATATATATATATATATATATATATATATATATATATATATATATATATATCATAAGGACGATTAAATCATATGAAGTAGAGCAAAAAAAGATCAAAATGAAATATGGATATTAAAAATACTCATAATTTAACTTTAAAATTATAAGGGTTAAAAATTGTTAAATAAAAATTAGACAAAATTACATAAATGGTCCTCATGGTTGACAAAATCGACCAATTATGGTCCTTATGATGAATTCTTTATACAGATGGTCCTTGTGGTTTCAAAATCTTGCAAAGACGGTCCTTTTGACTAACGGCGTTAACTTTTTCAGTTAAGTCCTATGTGAAATGACTTATTTGCCCTTCATGCATAAGGATGCTTTATGTAATATGTTTCTACCATAGGGACCATTTATGTAATTTTCTCTATTATTTATTTTTATTTTTTTTATCTTTTTTAATTATATATTTAAGTATTTAGATTTTTTTAAATTTATTGTTTAATATATATATATATATATATATATATATATATATATATATATATATATAATATTTTTTAACTCTTTGCTCAAATTATTTTTTCTAATCTTTTTGATATTTTCTTCAACTAAATTTATTAATGTTTTTTATTTTGACGTTTTATTCGAATATTATTTATTTATTTATTTATTTGACTTTATGTTCGAATACATTTTTCAACATATAGTATGTTTATATTTGTTAAAGGATTTCACGGCTATTGTAATTATAATCGTAACTTAATTCACTTTCAATTATGTTTTCATTTTTTTTCTTTTATCAGGTTATATAATTATTACTTTTTAATTCAAATATTTAACTATATAAGGTTGCATAATTATTATTTTTGTAAACTAATTTATTAACATTTTTTATAAAAAAGTGTAAAATGTTTGTTAAACGTTAATATGATTAATATAGATTAGGTAGACATACGCTACGTTGAGACCGCCTCATAACGTTGCCGAGAACGACCGAGTCATTTCACATTGGATTTAAATGTAATTATTTCGAGTTATTTTATTTTTTTGTTTTTAGTAGTGTTGTAAAAAATTACAATTAGGCCCGTTTAAACTCAGATTAATCCCTAAACGCTACCTGACCGACTAGAGACCCTTGCGTTGTGATTTTTTACAACACTGCTAAAAACAAAAAAATAAATAAATAAATAAATAAAATAACTCGAGATAATTACATTTAAATCTAATGTGAAATGACCTGGTTGTTCTCGGCAACGTTGTGAGGCGGTCTCAGCTTAGCCTATGTCTACCTAATCTATATTAATCATATTCACGTTTAACATACATTTTACACTTTTTTATAAAAAAATGTTAATAAATTAGTTTACAAAAATAATAATTATACAACGTTATATAGTTGAAAAATGTATTCGAACATAACGTCAAAAAAATAAATAAATAAATAAATAAATAAATAAATAATATTCGAATGAAACGTCAAAATAAAAAACATTAATAAATTTACTTGAAGAAAATATCAAAAAGATTAGAAAAAATAATTTGAGCAAAACGTTAAAAAATGTTAGTATGTATATATATATATATATATATATATATATATATATATATATATATATATATATATATATATATATATATATATATATTAAACAATAAATTTAAACAAATCTAAATCCTTAAATATATAATTAAAATAAATAAAAAAAATAATAAATAATAGAGAAAATTACATAAATGGTCCTTATGGTAGAAATATATTACATAAAGCGTCCTTATGCATGAAGGGCAAATATGTCATTTCACATAAAACTTAACTGAAAAAGTTAACGCCGTTAGTCAAAAGGATCGTCTTTGTAAGATTTTGAAACCACAGGGACCATCTGTGTAAAGAATTCGTCATAAGGACCATAATTGATCGATTTTATCAACCATGAGGACCATTTATGTAATTTTGTCTAAAAATTAATTAAGGGGAAGGAATATATATATATATATATATATAT